TACCGATCTGATCGGCTTCATCTCCACGTCAAGAGGTACAAACACGGCAGAAACTGCTCCACACCCTCTACTTGCACGATTCAAAAAACCCCACCAGGCTTGAAGACCATTTATATGAGGACCAGACATCAAAACTCAAAGCAGGGCACAAATGATTTTGGTGTCCTTTAGTATTTTAGGAAAACTGAATCTACTAGTGGAAGCCATCAGCTGGGAATCGTATGAAGCCAAAAGCAAACCTGAGTATCCTCATGCTCACCTGCAGCTGTAATCGCTATCTTGCGCTTCAGGCATTAAATTACACTTTACAAGATTCCCAGTCACACAGATAACACTCACAGACATCCTCACAAAAAGGCAGAACTTTTTATTCTTAACAAGACATACCATGAAGATCCCACTGTATTAGCTACAGAATATAAAAACTCAGAAAGATGGATGTTTCCATGTATCCAAATAACAAAAAAAAAAAAACAAAAAATCAAATACAGACTCTGACCATGATTCTACATCACTCTGCAGTCCTGGAAATTAATACAGATCCCAGAAGACCAGATTAAGTTCAAATCTTAGCTTATACTTAAAAGGAAGAAACTTTTCAAAAATTCCTGTTGCCGCCTTCCATCCCAGCACGAACGTTACTGCTTTGCACGTTAGAGCCCACGCAGTCGCCATCCAGGCCGCCAGGTGCCTCAGCAGGCAGCAATGGTTTAGCCACAAAATGCCCCAAAAGCTACAGTTACCCGGCAGAGGCAGCTGCCAAAAACCATCTGCACATCCGATTTACTTTAGCCAGGAAGAGTCCCAGTACCTGGAAGTCACTGGTGTGGTTGGGGATGATCCCCCATCAGCCCGTAGGGGATCCCAGCTCCAGCAGCAGCATCGACAGGCTGGGGGGGCACGTGGCAGGCAACCGGCCGAGTGACACCCCGAAGCTCGCGGAAGGAGAGTTGAAATACAAACAGGAAAACACCACAAAAGTGTTCATTTCCTGAAGTGCCACATTTCATACAGGAAGGAGTGTGGGGGCTTTTTGGTTTATTTTTTGTCAACCCACCCATATTCACATCAATTTATAGAGTACCAACATCAAACATTTAAAAAAAAAGTTTTTAAAAACCCATAAAAAAAGATGGCTGCTGACTGCCATGTTGGCCTATCTACATCATGTGATTGTATCATACACCTGTCATCTCAGGATTAACTGATTTGCTTCACCACCCTGTACCATCACCACAAAGATATTTCAAAATTATTTTTAACAGCTTACAACATGGTTCAGAAGTAAAAGCCTCAGAAAAACAAAACTTTCCTGTTATTTATATTGCACCTTTTTTACAAAGAGCTACATGGCAGAAGTTTCTTCTGCTGCAAAATGCTACATCAGAAAAATGTGGGTTGGAACACACATGAGAAAGAAAAAGGTCTTGAGCTTCAGGTGCCGTCATGAGTTGACCCCAAATTGCCAACACTAATTTTACAAATCGCTGTAGACCTACAAAGCCCAAGCATCGCCTCCATTTTATTTAGCATTCAACTACTGAAAACCCACAAGCTCTTTACCAGATGATAAAGACGCTCTAGTCACTACTGAGTCCTAAAAATCAATCTGCAAGGGAAATAGCAGTGATCTTCAAAAAGCACCAAATAGTCTACGGAGCTGTCACCAGAAACCCCACGTGTAGCAGGGAGAGACTGGTGTCCGTCACCCTGGTCTCTCCAGAACTAGCCAGGACTGTTTTGGGAAGAATTTCCCAATTTTGTGATGTATTTACACGTATGTTAGAAATGCGCGATAGAAACCAAACCATTTCTAGACACCAGCAGTTAGTGTCCTACCACTAGGCACGGCATCCACACCACCCTGGGTTCAGGCTGCGTAAACATCCGGCAAGGTGTCACACCCCTACAGCGAAACATTAATCCGATTTCTCGCAAGAGGCCATTACCAATGTGTGGCACTCCCGAAGCTTCCTGCAAGGAAGAAAAAAATACCCAAACCAACCCCCTTCACTTTGATTTAATAACAGGGTCATTATACACGATTGTCTAGATATGCCCTTTTTATTCCAGTGTTTCCATACTTTCTACAGACCTATGTACACAGTTAAATACGTCATTAATTTACAAACCATCGTAAAACAAAGGTTTCACCTTGCCAAACAAAATCTTGCAGCGGTCCAAGATTAAAATATGTGTTACAACAGTATCAGAAACTTCCTTTACCTGAATGTGGGCAATATTGCTTAAGGACTCGGATTCAGGTACTCAGCAAAACCACCTCCCGTAACCAATTCCCTCACCCGTTGTAATTACTCGTTCTACCAGACGAAATGATCCCTTGCTGACCACAGACCTGAACTAGAAGAGCACGAAGACTGTCAGGCAGTCTCCAGGGAAGAGACTCGCTCTCTGGGCCCTACACGGATGATTGGTTTGGGTCAGTCCCTTTTCGCTCTGCAAGGACAGCAGTTTTGTTTCACAGACACAGCGACGCCACGAGCCCGGACCAGAATTTGGGACGAGGTCTTTTCAGCAGAAGGCCCTCACCTGCGGCCCCGCTCCTGACAGAAAAAGCTGAGCTAAAGACCTGCCGCCGTAAGCGCACGGAGCAAGCTTTCTCTGCAAACAGCTGCAAGAGAGATCTGGTTATGTACTTTAAAGGGAAACCATCTAAATATATTTAAGAAAGCCTCTGATCGGCGATTAAAGCACGTGGAGCTTCGCTCCAAGTAACAGGTCAAGCTGCACGCAGGTGGTACGGCAGCAGACATACCAGAAGACGTATGGAGGAACTCACCGCATGCCTGTACATCCCTGGGGCCCCCCGCTGCTACTGTTTTCTGGTATTTCACCCCGCTACGAAGCGGGGAGGAACCACCTGCATTTTCCAAATGGGAAACGGAGGCACCAGGAACACAATCAAGCATCTGCAGGAGTCGACTCCGTTTACAGCTGGCTCCCTTTGAAAGCGGCTGGAGAACTTCAGCCCCTCTTAAAAATCTCAGCCTAGATTATCTCACCCTCAAAGCAGGCTTTTGGAGAGCCAGAACCTAATCCAAATCCAGAGTCCGCACACTCCTTTTCACATGTCTGTAAAAGCACTTAAATATTGGGAAGTGAGCCTCAGAAGGACACATTTTGCACTTTCCCGTATTAAAAAGAAACAATTACACATCAACTAATACTGGAACAGGCAAAAGAAATTTCACCTGAAATGATGCTTTTCCTCATTCTCTTGTTCTTGTTAACCTGTTAGGGAATAATTTATTTAGATTTTCTAAGCTAAAAGCCCAAGCTCTAAGCTAGCACGAACAGACCCAACTCCAGTCGAGTCACGTTCTGCTCACAAGCATTAGCAGCGTGTTTAACCCAGCTCTGAGGTGCCAGAAGGACCGTTTCCTCTTTCGGACGGTATGGGGGAAGGCAGTCTACGGAACTGCCTCCCCCATCAGCCAAAAGAATAAGATCAGGTTGACTTGGAACTAAAAATAAATTCTTTACTATCCAGAAAGGAGCCAAATCATCATCTCATCGCGGAAACGGTCATTTTTAAAGCAATAAATAAGTGGAGGAAGTGTTCTGTACCAAACCCTGAATTTTCTCACTGGTGCCTAATACCTCTCTAGTAAGAACACCACACTCACGCTGTCAAAAGTCTCACTGTACAACAGCTTTCCTGTGAAGGAAGGGCGGCCCCTACAACCTTCTTTCCCTAAAGTAACAACAGTCACGGTCTGCTCAGCGAAACCCAAGCCCAGCGGGTTTCCTCCCTGTCCCGCACAAATGCAGTACCTGACGCACAACCACCAGCTTGGCTAGAATGAAGTATGTTCATTTAACTGCATCGCTGCTCCTTCACCAGAGATCAACTATTTACTGCGGATTCAAACGTTTTGGGGTTTTTTTAACAACGTACTGCTCGGGCTGGGGCAGCTGCAGGAACAGAGGAGACAACATTTAACTTCCTTCAGCGGAAAGTGGAAGTCAGGCTGCACACAGCACCTGCAACAGCAGTCATTAAGAAACCTAAAAAACGGATTAGGGACTAAAAAGATAGACTTAAGAAACAATTAAGAATGATGATGATCCAAATTAATGCATTCATAATATATGAATCATACAAGAGAGCATAATTTATGCATAAAACCAAGAAGAAAACACCTGAAACCTTTCAGTTTCTAAAGCAACAGAAGAGTTTTGTAACAACAGGCGTGAAGCGCGTAAAAAAAAACTGTATTATTCCAAACACTTTATTTGTGAAGGTGTTCTCCGTATCGCCAAGGAAGAGCGATGGCTGAGGTTACAGGACCACATTACTCAGAAAACAATTACCTCAAGCTCTGTTTGTCTGTTGTCTACAACAACAGTGATTTTAGAGAATTCTCTCTCATGCCTGAAGTACACTTCTGGCAGAGATCGATCTTTACTGTCTGCTCTTTCGGAAACTCTCCTGCTTTGTCAGCACAGACTGCAGGCGGAGGCACAAAGGAGGGAACGCCCACGTGAAGTTTCGTAGTTGCTCGAGATGGACCCAGGTTTACCTACACTGATACGCGTCAACCCTCCTCCGACAGACCACTCCTGACAACCTGAAGTACGCCCCAGTTTCACTTCTTTCTGGAAGTTTCATTAAAAGAAAGTATCATTAAAACATATTAGAGAACAAACTGAAGGTGACGTGACCAGCAGGGAAACAAAACACTGGCCAGAATTTAGCTGCCAAAAGAACAGTCAGTTGACAGACTCTGAAAAGAAGCCGTGACAGCAGATGTTGGACTCTGAGGTGTTGTACGTGCATTTCACCAGGATCTCTGGACAAGAGCTACACCGTGCAGGTACTTCCAGTGTCAGATCTCGCTGCTTCACGTGTCAGGGTCTGCTGAGCAGCAGCTGGAGGTCTGTACCGCTTCCACTACCCATGCATCCTCCCTTCGGTACGATAAAATGGCTTTACATTCACGGATGTACTAAACGTTTCTGATAATGTTGGGGACACCTTGATATCACAGTCTATACCTGTTTGCCAGGACTCTATATATCAAAACGATTTAAGTTGTAGGTAGTCGGATAGTTTTGCCGGTTATACTGGAAGTGGTCTGTTAAGATATTGGTTCGCCCGTACTGATAGTCTCCATGTTGTGCAAATGCCGTAAGTCCGTTCTGAGACTTTTCAGGAGTGTTTCGGTGCCGATCCAAATTCACAAGGTCTCCAGTGGTAATGGGAAGTAGCTGCTTCTTTGCTTCTTGGTTTGCATCGTATTTTGTCTAGGAAAGAAAGAAAGAATGTTTTTCTTGCATATCACCTAACATACATACCTAGAAAAGAGCACACCGTGTTATTACACTACTGTCCATGCCTGTTAGTCTTAAAATATTAGTGGCTTCTAATAAAAAACCTCATTCTTCTCACGTGCCAAATCAGCAAGCGGCTCTTTTGCTCGAGATTTGAGTGAGTTACCTCTCGCCCTTCATTTTCCACGAAAACACTAAGATCAAGATTGGATGTTTTAGAGGCTGGCCTGGCCCAAACACCCGAGTACTTCGCTCGGCTGATACACGTCCCTCCTCTGCAGTGAGGTGTTACGCCATGCGCCCTACCCGTTTGTTCTGCTGGCTGATAACTTGTTGTGCAAAAAATAATTCAAAGTTGGATACTTCAAACACGGGACCGCTTCGACCGAGTTTCCTGAACAAACCACCCACCCCCTTACCTTGTTGTACAAGAAGACCCCCAAGATAGCTGTCATCATCCCAAGGACATTGGTGCTCGTCACCGGGTTGCGAAGCATTATAAGGGACACGGTGATGACCATGATTCTTTTGGTGGCGTTTGCAACGGAGTAGCTCAGCGGGCTGATCAGGTTGAGAATACTGAAGGCAATGACATTCTGGGCAAAATTACAGAACCCGCTGATTATAAGCAGCATCAAGGTCCAGGACCAATGAGACATCGTGCTCTGTTATAAAGATGAATGTTACAAGGAAACAAAAATTATCTCAGGCTTCAGATAAGAGACAAAGAAACAGAAACACAACCTGAGTCACTTCTTACCTGCCGTTGACCGGCAGAACATCCACAACTTAACTCTAAGGAGGCACCCGAGCACGTGACATTACGCAACTGCCAACTCCAAGAGAACATCTCTGCAGGCTCGTAACCCGCTCTCTGGGGGCGTCTGTCCTGTCGCCAGCTACTAATGCCCGAGCTTTACGCTGTCACATAAGCTGCCTCTCCTAACCCTGACGGGAATTCTTGCAATAAACACTTTTTTATCTTGTTTTGTGAAACAATCTGTGGGTATTTCACAACAGTTCCTTCCACGCCGATGAGGAACTACACTGAAACACTTAAATGCACTTTAGAGGTACAGGGGATGGTGTGTGTCTGTTACTGCATTTTTTTTCCTCTTTTCTTTTTTACCAACAAATTATTCTTACTAACAAACCGTATTTGTTTCCCTAACACAACACTTACCAAATCATTCTCTACTAAGAAGGAAGAAAGATCTACCAAAACCCACGTTGGGATCATGAAGAACACAGCATGGCACCCAAGTATGTTCAGCAAACGAAGATGATGTATTCGGGAATCTCTTAACACCTGACAAAAAACATCATTAAACAGCCTTTCTTCAGCTACTGCCCACCTTATCAGTAGAGATTCAGGAGCCATGTAACAGTAACAGCTTCAGATGAAATACAAATTATGAAAATAAGTAAATACTGTTAAAGTGTGAACTTCCTATAAGGATGACCAAAGAAAAACAGATGTCTATTCAAAAAACAACGGTTTCTTGAGTGGTGACTCATACTATTAACAAGATAATAATACATTTAAAATGCTCTGCAAACCAGAAACCCTTTTGCAACTAAACAGATTCAAGACCTACAGTTTCATTTTGTTTCTAAGATTTCTTTTTTTTGAATGCCCAGTGTTGACACTGACTCATTCACTACGGAGAAAGGATTCGATACTGCAAGACACATTAAGAGCTTCCAAACGAAATGAACTGTTAAATTTACGCACTACTGAACTGTCAGCGGACAAAAAAAATCCAGGCGGAGGAGTAAAGAAAAGGCTCAGGATAAACTCTGAGTTCTGCCCAATTTTCAGTGCAACAGCTCCGACAGGTAGGCAGGGCTGGCGAGAACAGGCACACAACCAGCCAGCCATTACTTTGGGCTCCTCTGACTACAAAGGCAACTTAAAAAAAGATAAATATATATGTACTGGAAAATACATAACTGTTCTGCTAAAGGATGACGCTACTGACCAACGCCATGAACAGCAACACTTACTTTCTTGGAGAAGATGTTCTGAAGCGAAAAACACAGAGTAGCAGCAAGTGCACTGATGAGTCCCCACATGTCAAAGGAAAGTTCCGTGACCGTGGCCAACAGGACACCAGTTATTATGGGGATCAGAGACAAGTACACCTGAAAGAGGGACAGAGAGGAGTAGCTTACATCTTCTAAAAATTTTAATTTCAACAGAGTTTATACAAATTGCTGATCTGGGGAGGAGGAGGGAAAGAAGAATAAAGCAACAGAACCAGGGATCAACTTCTATACTTTTGTAATTTGAGGAAATTCAGTGACTACAATACATCCTGTAACAACTCCGGTGTATCAGAGAGCATCACCTCGCTCAACGTTTAGATGTGTTTTCTTTACAGTCCCAATAAAAGGAAAAGGAACTTATCAAATCCCTGTAACCTAATTTCCATCACAAAATTCACCCAGCTAACCCCAGCCTGAGCTTGCCTGATCCCAGCCAGCAGAGCCCACCACAAACACCACCAAGAGAAGAGACCTCAGCAAACCTGTCCGCACCTTCGTCGTCTGCTTCTCCTTCATTATGATCCGCGAAAGAAGAACCACCCATATTGGCATCGTCGCTTTTACTGCAAACGGAAAGAAAATGTCGGTGGGGACACAAAGCTCGGGCCGACTCCGTTAACTGCCGCCAGCAGAGGGTGAGTGCTGGGGATGGAGGAGGGGCTCAGGTCTGGTCCCACCAAAGCCACAACCTCAGCGCTCACTGGGTTGTCCCTCCTTGTCACCGCGCCGGGCACTTGTACAAACAGGGGCCGGTTCTTGATGCCCCTGGGCACCGTGCTGGGCACCTGTATGAGCACAGACTGGGGCACAGCACTGGGCACAGCACTGGGCACCCATGCGAGCACACCCTGGGCACAGCACTGGGCCCCCATGCGAGCACACCCTGGGCACAGCACATCGCACTGGGCACCTACGTGAGCACACCCTGGGCACAGCACTGGGCCCCCATGCGAGCACACCCTGGGCACAGCACACCGCACCCCTGTGAGCACACACTGCGCTTCAGGGTCGCTGCACCAGGCGCTGGTACAAGCACGTACTGGGGACCACGCCGCCGCCCTGGGCACCCGTACGAGCACACGCTGGGCTTCAGGTCACCCCAGTGGGCACCAGTGCAAGCAACCGCAGGGGCCCGGGACATCCCACCGGGCAGCCGTAAGAGCACACACCGGGCTCCAGGGCACTGCACCGGGTCCCCTCTGCCTGGAGCTGGGACATCCCACCGGGCACCTCCACGGGCCCACACCGGGCACAAGGACCCCCCCCCACCGGGCAACCCCCCCCGCACACACACCGGGCCTCACCTGTGTGCGCGTAGGAGACCGGGACCCTCCAGAGCGAGACGTGCGCGGAGACGGAGGCGAAGTACTTGCCGAAGGCGAGCGGCAGGATGTAGCGGGGGTAGGCGCGGGGCGGCAGCTGGGCCGGGCC